ATTGCCAAAAAAAATGAATTTAATGCAGATTTCTGAAAATCAGCAGGCATACTTAAATGCAGAGAGACTGGAGCACGCGTGTGTGTGTGTGTGTATAGGTTGATGTATTTGCATTTGCAGTTCTTTTTATAACACGGTATGTCCGAGCTTTATCAGGGTTGTCCTTTTGAAATACTAATTTATTAATTACTCACGTTAGTTGTTATGAAGGGGTTTTTTTTAGTTTATATCAGGAATAATTCTATAACTCGTAATTAATCAATTAAAAGTGTCCAGAACTGATCTTCATTGCAGCTGCTTTTTGTTTCATTAAGACAACGCCAGATCGAGTAGCTTTTATTTGAAAGCTCTGATGCACTAGCTTTAGCCCGTTATTTGCGCCATCTGACTACCCTTCATTTCGGTTTTTTGTAAAACTCTCTTGATGGTGAAAAATTGGCTGAAAATCATTTGGCCAAATTCTTCGCCGAAAAATCACAGAAGGTCTAAACTGATGGAATTATGATATTAATGGACTTTTTGTAATTTTCAATATATTTTTATCCAAATCATACCAATTTTCTTCGATATATCGCCTATCCACTTCTCAGAAAGAAATGTACTCCATATGCTAGGTTGAAGTAGCTGATCTTTCGGGGCTCAGATTTACGACATGAAATCCATAGTGTTGCCGACACACTACATATGACCAAGCTGCACTACAACGCTCTTTATTGTGCCCCTAGCACGAAATAACATTATTGTTCGCAAGTTGAAGTAAAAGTAGTTCCTTAGGTCCCTTGGCCATTACAGCATTTCTGCACCAAGTAAGCGTAGCTTTGTCTGATGAATGCAGGACACTCACAGATTACGTGCCACACTGTATTCACACATTTCCTATATTTTCTGCACTTTTTGTCCCTACTCTGACCTATATTAAAAACCTTCGACGTTTAATGGCAATCCTACCGGCAGATTGGAGTCCGGCCTCTTTGCTGCTTGTAAAAACTTTTTAAGTTCAGCCTTATGGGGTTTTCAAATAGTTTTCGCGATTCTGCCGCCCTTAGCTAGTTCCAAGGTCTATTCGCCTTATGAAGTAAGATTACTTCTTTGCTGCATATCCTGCACCACTACGACCTGTTCTAAGAGGACACCAACCTTAGCCAGTTCGTCAGCTATCTCATTGTATTTGATGCTCGTGTGAACTATTGCCCTGTAAATGTAAAATCTCCTTTTTTCAGACTGTATTCTTATAGCCTCTTTACACAGTGCGACCACAGTCGAAATTGTGCTGCATGAAATTGTGGCCTCCATGACCTCTCTGAGTACTTAAAGCACATAAGCTGACTGCATATATAGTACTACTAATTGCGGTCGCCCCTCGGCAGGGAATGTCAACCCGCCCCGAGTGTATTTCTGACATGAAATAAAGGCTCTTCATAAGAAAACCATCAGCCGTTCAGAGGCGGCTTGGTATAAACTGCTGGTCCCTCCATTGCTTGGAAAAGCATCAAGACGCAAAATAAATAAATAAATAGGTGTTATCTTCTTCAGAAAGTCTGCCGCCTGCACTAACTCTGCCGCCATTTTTCTAGCAAATATTTTGGCAGCTTAAATGACCTTCTTATCTCTAGTAAACTGAGCGCTGACTCCTTCGTTATTTTTAGCAACAACCGTAAAAATATAAAAGTTTTATTTTTACTCGAGATTTTAATCTATGTAAAAAGCTAACTACATAACCATCTTCAGGAAAGCTAAGCCACGGTCCTTGGTTCCTGATACGCTTCATCGGGGTAAAATCAACCGAAATCCAACTACAAAAATATTTTTTTCTTAATTTCGTTTTTCCTTCGTTGACCGATTCTCATTGCAATTACGAGCATTTGAAATAAAAAATAAGCCAAATCGGATCAGTCTTTCTCAGTTGATGAATTTGTAAATCTTTGCAGGAGAGCCCTAACATTAAATTTCCATATATATATAGAAAATTATGGTCTGGTTATGTAATCCTTTGTTGCTAGTCACATTTGGTGGTCTGTCGGCGACAAAATTGCACCGTCAGCGTCATTACAAATAACAACCGATGTATTTGGCCTGTGCACTACATTCTACGTGCTTCCGCATGGTGGGATTGACTAAGAAATATTAATACCAAGACCATAACGACAAAATTACAATGAGACTCAATTACCAATGCTCTAAAATAAGGCGCCTCGTTTCTATTTCTATTTTCTATTTTCCTTTGAATTTATAATTTACTTTTTTTTTTTTTGCATGAAAAAGTAGGCGAAAAAGAACTGCAAAAAAAAACTTCATTACTTTTCCACATCAATAACGGCATTTTCGAAATGAAATATTAAGAGAGATAAATTAATTTGAAAAAAAAAAACACACATATATATATATATATATATGTATATTAACTCCAAAGCCACCGCCTGCGGCAAGTGATAATTTCATATTATGACCGAGAATGAAATGGCATGGAAAATCCGCACTGCCGAAGCAGAAAATCAGTGGACAGTCAATTGCTTTCGACTCGGTGCGACTGCCAAGCCAAGCAAGCGCATTTATTCAAATTAAATGGAAATTTTTTAAAAATTTATTAACCTGCCAGCGCCTTGACATGATTCGCAGAAGGGCAGCAAGGAGTGGCGTAATTTGGTTTGCGACAACAACAACATTTAAATCCCTTCCCATCGCTGCATGCTGCATGCCTCATTGCTGGTTTTCCCCTCCTGCTCTTCGGGAGTGCCAAAAACTTGCGGTGTCTCGAAGTCATGTTGCTGTCTACCGCCATATTCTACTTGTTATTTTTACTCTTATTTGCTGCTTTCAATGACATACATATTTACAAACATACATATGTATACCAGCATACAAGCATACTGAACCGTAAAAGTATAGGCTGATATTGGGAGACTGCATTAAAATTCTGTGCAGACGAGCAAGTAGCAGCAATTCAAGGCTTGCTGGCCTTTGCCATGTAAATTTCTGAGAGTGTTGTTTTTACCACTGACTTGCTATAAGCACAACAACAGCAACAACTGAACAAATAACAACAATGCTTGTCGACTGCAGCCAGGACATGCATGTGGCAAATAACAGCATTGGGCTGTTGTTGTTGTACTTGTTGTTAATGCTCTCATAACTATTCCAACGGGCTGTGTGTATATATATGTGTGTGTGTGTGAATGTGTGAGTGTGTGTGCATGTTATTCATAATTGCACAACGGTTGTTATGTGGCGTTTGGACATGCAAGAAATGCAAAGCTATGCACTTAACAATTCAAGTGATGCGAAGGAAGTTGGCCGCAAGGACATCATCTCATTCCCCCCCTCTCTCTCTCAATCTCTGTCTCTCTCTCTGCCCCTCATGAAGTTCGTAATAAATTTTATAAGAAGTCAAAAAAAAGATAAAACAAAGAAATGAAGCTACTTTGAATGCAGACATTGATTTAACACAGCTTTTGCGCTTTCGACAAACTTTGGGAAAAATTATAAAAATGTTCAAAAAATGTATTTACATGGAAAGATAAGATTTCGAATCTGTGCCTTACACAATTTCTATCTTAAAGAGAAGGAGAGAGAGAGAGCAATAAGCATTGAGGATTCCATTTTAAGTTTAAATTTTTAAGCATTTGGTCAAGAAAGTACCGAAAATTGATCATTCAAAAAGCTCGTGTTACTTCCGCGCCATCTAGTTGTCAAATCAACAACTACAGCAACACAGCAATCTGATTTCGGCAGCAGCTGACAGCTGCAAAAGCGAATTATTCTGATTATTTACACATAAAGAGTTTCTTTTAAAACTTGCGGGTTTCAAGAAGAAATAAATCGCATACATAAAATTTAATATTATTGACAATAATTTAGCTTTATTGCAAAGAGAAGGGATTACCATGATGTGCCTACAAGCCCGAACTTCGAACACAATGTTAAATTGCACAATGTTGGAGCTCTCGCCACAGCTCCCGACGCGAGATAATGCGCTCACTAAATGTTTTCTTGTAGGCATGTAGAGCCGTCTACTTGGAACCAAAGCTCATCCATATGAAATTCCGCCAATTCAGGCAGGCAAAAGTCACGAAATACAGCATTCCTCATTGACTCTAACACACTATGCCCGGCTTCATTTTGAAGAGATATCGACCAATGATACCCGCTGCGCACAGTTCGCACCAAACAGTAACTTTGAAAGAATCCATGTAATATCATCACTACTAGCGTGAAAAATCAAAAGTAAGCTTCCTGACTTCGGGTTCGGTGGCCTATTCACTGAGCGGGCGACACGCTCGATGAACGTTCGGCTTCAATTCTTGCATGAGTTGGATTTTGTAAGCTCGCAAACCAAGATCCTTCCACAAAATCTTCTGTAAAGTGGATAGACACAGTTGATATTGTTTCGCACGATGGTAGATGGACTCATTCGAGTCTTCTTCGATACTCTGCTCCACAGCAGCAATAGTGTTTTCGGTGTGCACAGTACGTCGTCTCTCAGGATGCACATTATCCAGTAGAGCAAACGTGATGCGAACCAGAGCCTGCTGACTGATAATATCGACCGTATATTGGACGTAGCTCATGATACCACGCGCTAACCGAGACATTATTTTGGTATTAAATTTGCTTTCAGAAAAGTATTGCCTGATTGAAATCAACACGTATAAAAAAAACACCCTGATTAATGCTAGTCAGTTGCTTAATTTCGATATCCTCAGTCAAGATTGAGGAACCAAAACACACAACTTCAGCTACATTTACATTGAGCGCATTAAAAAAGAGATTGAGAGACACTTGATTCACCACAATTATTATTAAATAAAAAAGTTAATTTTTTTTTAAATTTTTGTCAATGTTGCTTCCTACCGACGGTCAACGGTCAACGGTCAACGGTAAGTACGTATACATGCACAAATATTTGAATTATTATATACATAAATATACTAGAATAATCGGGTCTAATCAACCTCAATTCATTTGTTTGCTATGCACAATTATTATTGCACAATCCTATTTACCTGCTGCATATTTCGCCATTGCAAGTTCGCATCATATTCGATGTCATTATGGCCCATATCATTGCCAAATAGACCATCACTAATGTGGACAGCGTCTTCCGGCTGGGCGGGCGTTTCAGTGCCATAGAAAATCAAATCCCATTGTGTTATTTGTGCTATAAAAGGAGAGACAGAGAGAGAGAACAATGGAAATATAAATGAATACATCAATATAAAGGAAGAAGAAGAGTAATAATAAAATAATACAAACAAATATATGCAGAGTATACAAAAACAAACAAGAACTAAATTTGTATTTATTTTCATAGAAAATGTGAAAAAATAACAAATAAATTTACATGCAAGAAATTAATTATAATATACTTATATATATGTATGTATGTATGTATGTACATATGTACAATCGCTACTTTGTGTAAAAAAATTGCTTTTTGTTCTCCTTTCCTAGTTTTAGTACATCATAATGTTAGTATGTCATAAATAATTTAATGCAACTGTTATTATAAAATGCTATATTTATTTGTTAGTTTTTTATTATATTTTTTTTATATTCTCAAACTCAATGTTCTTTGGATTGCTTTAAAATGCAGCATGCAAACGAGAAAACTGGAAAATGAGACTTAAAAAAGAGACGGCCATAAATAAATAAAAGAAGTAAAAATAAAATCGAATTGAAATATAAATAAAGCAAAATAGAAAAACGAAAAGTTGTGGTGTAAATTTAAATATAAACAAGAAATCAAAGCTGTCTTCACCCTTGCCAAGGTCCTCATACCTTTCATGACGACATCGAATTCAGTTTAGGGTTAAATATTAATTTTCATATCTTGAAAAATCGCTTGGTAGGGCGCTATAAGATGCAGTCATTCGAGTTTTACGACTTTCGGTGACCATATTTATTTTTTACGCTTTTAGATGCGTTTTTAAGGGAGTTCGGACCCGAAACTTCAAATCTCAACAAATCGCTTGTACGGGGCCATACGATTCTTCTTCTTCGATTTTGAAGATTTTCGGCACCAACTTGTAATTAATCATCATAGGTGTGCAGAGTACCAAAATGCTTTTGGAAAAATTTATGAACCAAAATCTCATATGTGAAAAGATCTGTTGTACATATAAATGCTATAGGCCGTGAATCGCTACAATGATTTGGTTGGTTAAATATACCAGTGGGTCTCTGTATAAAGTATGGTTGAAATATCTCAAAATCTGACGGACTAGTTTCCGTATAAACAGACGAACAGATGAACATGGCTAAATCAGCTCAACTTGTCATTCTGCCCGGATTGGTATGACTTTCGAAGGGTCTGCCTCTATTTCTTCTGGTACTTTCATAATTCGGACCAATGCAAGTTGTAAAAAAATTAATACAGATGAGTGCATATATACATATAGTATATACTCGTACAACTTAGCTAGTGCGTTAAAAATTGATCTTGCTGTTGGAAGATTTTACTTTTACTTTTACGTGTATTTTTGATGGGTCACGGATCGGGCAACTTATGAGAGACCGTAATTTTGTCAAATAAATGACTGAAGTCGAATCTAAAGCTTTAAAGTGATTTGTTTTGATTATGAGTAACTTTCTAGGTTAAAGGAAATCTAATAACCACCCCGAGCATGTTGAGCGGATCGTAATGAACTTGCAAGGGCATTCGCATTTAGACTGATTTTCATAAAACCTAGAAAGATGGCTCCAGGATCTTCATACAGTGGAAGAAAGTTGTCAGGGGCGATGGATCTCGCATATAATGGTAGACTACTGTTGTTCGTTCAAGATTCTTAGTCAGAATATTTAAGCTGTCTCCGAAAGAGAGGGTAGTGAGTTGACGAGCTCTTCACTCTATGTTAATTAAGTCTGAGGCGAAATAGGAGTAATCTGTATATATTATATAATTAAAGGTCACACGGTAGTGTATTTTGGAAGGTGGAGTCCTCTCTCGACAAACACAAACCAAATTCTACAAGTAATTCTTGAAAGTTGGCAACAACGGAAAAGTCTGCTTTGTTATGTTTCGCGCGAAAGAAAATATCAGGCTTCGCTTAGTTTCTTCAAGCTAATAAGAAAAATCCACTGCCGCGCGATTCTTGACTCGGCTATAAGCGTTGACCGCACTGACTTTTAATTGTTATCAAATATTGAAAAAATAGTCAAATAAAGTTTGTCGACTAAAATTATGTTGAGGGGAAAATACGGCTCATTTTGGAAAAAAGAAAAGAAATAATAATTTTTCGACAGTTTCGAAACTGGTACTCTCCTCCTACGATCGTACTGAGAATCCGTCTTGCAACGCTTGCAGGTAATTTCACTTTGCTCTTTTGCAAGAAAATCCTTTTTTACACATTTCTGAAAATCCGAAATTGCAAACTGTGAAAAAATTCAACACAGACTGCTGTTACTCAATTTAATGCCACACCACCACCATCCGTTCGGCAGTTTGATTGATTGCCATTTTGTGCGAGTGTTTGTAGCGTTTAAATTGGCCGATTGTCAGGACGTCAGGACTTCCACCAAACCATATCCACGCAGACATATCTACACATAAGCCATTGGCCTATGAGAGCGGATAAGAGTTGAGAGTGAACAATTCTAGTTATCGATCTACTTTACAACACGTTGATTGATGGCCTCAATGCGCACACATACGCACACACCCGCACGCCGCAGGTACACTTGACGTCAGTGTAAGCTTAAAAACGAACTGATTGGATGGATTTCGATGGATTTTTTTGAGTGGCTCTTTTTGCCTATTTGCATATCAAGAGCAGAGTATGCAAGGCGCATGGTGGAATAAGCGCCGAAATACCGTGCGATATGAGCGCGGAAGAGGTGTGACATTTATAGCTGCCAAATGTTTAGTCCAATTTCGGCATCAGCGGGCTAGAGTAGGTGTAGATGGACAAGTCAATTGCGAGTGAAATAGAGAGAAAGAAATAGATAGAGAGGAGTAATGGGATCTCTCTTATTTTCTACGCAGTTTAACGACGTAACGACGTAACGACGCAGCCAACTAATGAGCAGAGAAATATAATGAAAAAGGATCATTGTGTTTTGCACTTTAAGGCTCAAAGGTTAATTTCAAATTTAAAATCATAGACTATTTAAATCTTTCGAAGACCACTGACGACCTTCACCTCTGGCTTGAAGTTTAATGAGATGATTGAAGAGGTAGGTTTTAGGCACTGTCACGTTATCGAATTACTAAATCATTCAAGAGAGCCGTTGTAACATAACATAACCTATATTCAGGGGGCAAAATACTTGCATAAAGACAGACCAAAGGAATTGCTTTACTTCTAGAGCTATGACGTTTAGCTCCGTGTATAAGAGAGCAAATTTAGTCTCTTAAAACCAAATGGCGCTTCAGACGAATGATTACTCAATGCGAAATATCTTTGACGAAGATCTACACACCTTTAGCTCCTAGTTATAGTACCCATTGCAGAGGCAGAAGTAAATGGAGCCAGCTTAGGAGGATTGCGTTACCTCTAGAAGAAATGTCGAAGTAAAGAGGTTTCCGACCTTAGCTGGCACTGTACTTATGATCTGTGGATGAGACGATTTCCAGAATATCAAAAAAGTCAACCTTGATTTATTGGAGATATAAATCAATTCGGTCCGTTCGCAGAAGATGGCTCCATCTGCAAATTGTGACCGATTTTGGAAACGATTCCTTTATGCATTTGCAAGGCTTCACATCTCTCAACAGTAATTAATGTGCATCAATGTCTGTTTCTGACAACAACATTGTTTTTCGTCTCTTTGAAAATGAAAGAAAAGTGCAGCTTTTATCGAATGCTTGTGGAAGTTTATGGTGAATCTGCGCCGATCGATAAGTCAGGCAGATAGTGGTCTCGACGTTTTAAAGGTCGAAGGTGTGGTGAGCTGTTAAAACCAGGCGAAAGCTTTGATACGAAACATTATCGACTACAACAAATGCGTGTGAGCAGCGTATTGCTTGAAGAACGCCCAGAAAGGACGGAAAGGCATGAAAATGTGATTTTGCAATATGAAAATACTCGGCCCCAGATGGCTATATCGTTCAAAAACTAAATGGAAATGCTGTAAAGGGAAGCCTTACCCCACCCGCCGCATTATCTAAACCTTGCTCCTGCCGATTACTGACTTTTTCGACGGATGCAAAACGATTCGAGGAGTGGTTGAACGACTGGATCGAGGACAGAGAGGACTAATTTTTATAAGATCGTATTCGAAAATTAACAGAGCGTTAGGAAAAAGTAGCCGCTTCCAACGGACGAATGATGTACTTTTTACTTTTTTTCTTAATCAAAAATCAAACAGATCAGATCTTCAAACAGGCTTAATCAATTTACTGATCAACCAATTTAAAATTCATCTGATTAAAAAATGGCTTAATGAGGAATTCAAGTCACATATCTTAAATTAATTTGTAAGTTCGTAAAAATCGGCTCTATCAATTAAATAAATCCAAAATTAAGCATTCAAAACTAACGAGTGAGTGGAAATTGAGTGAAGCGTTTAGTTCTGGTATGCAGAGCAGGGAGGGCAAAGGAAAAAAAAGAAAATAAATGATTGAAATAAATATATTCTGGAATTAATCGATTTTTTCACAACCTGCGTACACATCGCCGCTTGAATTTCACTACACAAAATTATGCATTGAAAAAATCCAAAAAAAAAAAAAACTAAATTAACACTAATACGCATCGCACTAAGAACTTTTCAAACAGAAATAAATGAAAAAATAAGAAGAGATCAAATTCTAGGCATTCCGTGTGCTCAATTCAGTACCGTCACTGCTGCCGCTCTCCTTGCGATTGGGCAGCACGCCAAGCACACCACCAATTGGACGCTGGGTGCCGCCACTCACGCCTGCTGCCGCCAGCAGCAACTGTTGCTTCTTTATTATCTTCTGATCAGGCACAAAGCTTGGCGATGACTTTTTAGTATTTTCGCGTGATGGTTTTGAGCCACTGCCGTTGCCCCCACCACCACCAGCACCCTTGTTGTTGCCATTTTCACTGCTGCTGCCGCCGTTCATTGCACCTAACATCGGCCGGAAGGTCTCCGCCTCGTAATCCATCGTCGAAATGGCTGCCGCAGCAGCGGCGGCCTGCTTACGTTTTTCGGCTTTCGCTGCGGCAATTGCGGCTGCGGCAGCTGCAGCTGTGGTGTCCTTCTCTTTGGGTCCCTGATATGGCTGAAATTCCGGAAAGATTGCCTGTATTTTCTCGTAACGCTCGAAGAGTTTTGGGATGCGCGTATCGGCGAATGTGGCGGCTGTTAGTTTTTCGTGCGTTTGCATGGGCAGCAGCGACTCCTTGATCTGTTTGGTCGCTTTGACGGGTAACTTCGAGTAGCTGGTCATTTGCGTAGCGGTCGTTTTGGCCGCGTTGTTCGCCAAGTCTGAGCCGATGTCTGCGACATTGGATTTTTTGGCTGCTTTGCCGCTGCTATTTGGGCGTGCATTGCTGGTACTTGCTGTTGTTGTTGTGGTAGTTGTGGTTGTTATTTCGCCGATCACTTTCCGACTCATCTTGTCGTCGAAACCTTGTAAGCGCTCTGCAGATTGCGCTTTCGCGCGTCCGCCTCCTTGCTGACTGGATTTACCGTTCGATTTGCTGTTGCCGCCAGGTTGTTGTTGTTGTGATATGCGGTAGAATTTATTTTTCGTATTCGACGTAGAGCTTTGTTCTTTTTTGTTGGCCGATGATTTGTTGCCACCACCACCACCTTTGCCGCCGCCACCACCACCGCCACCATTGCCTTTTTCGCCAGATTTTCCCTTCCCCTTGCCGCCCTTGCTAGGCTTGCCGCTTTGCGAGCCCAGTATGACGCCGTACGTTGCTGAGATTTGCTGATAACTCGGCGCTTGCAGTTGCTGTTGTTGTTTATAGAGTTGCTGTTGCTGTTGTTGTTGCTGCTGCTTTTTACTACTTCCGCCAGCGACATTCAACAATGGATTATTTGCGCCATTCGCGGCTGTGTAAACGGATTTGTTCGACGTTGTTGGCAATTTAATGGGAATTTTCACACCCCCACCCGGCATGGCATTGATGGCGCCGAGTATGGCAGCCGCCGAATTGCCGTTAATGCCACCGCTGCTGCCGACGTTATTGGACGAGATGCGCGGATATTGTGGCGAGTAGATCTGATGGAGGTTCGTTGTGGTACTCGCCGCATTCGAGTTGGGCGTCGTGTTCTCGGCAGAATTGGCGCGTGGCGTTGACACGGGGTCGTTGGGGTCGATGGGCAATGTGGTGCCATAGAATATGAGCGACCACTCGCGGAGTAAGGCGTGACCTATTTTGCGGGCGCAATCGGATGTTTGTAGAAATATACGCAAATGTTTGGGCACACGAGTGTGCATTTAATTGTTGTTTTTGTTTTTGTTTTTATTCGTCGTGACATTTGCACGGCCGGTCGCATAAGTACAGTTATATGATAGTTAAAGAGTTGAGGTTGAGTTGGTGTTAAAGCAAAGTTGATTTTAGGTTATTTTCGTATTTGTTGTTTTTATTATTAGTTACACAGTTAGTCAGTTACATATTGCCACACACACACATTATCAATTAAGCGCAGCATGTAAATAAATTCATAGACAAATGATTAAATATTTTGTTAAAATTTGCACCAAAATCCTTAATTTTTGTTAATATTATATATATATATATATATATATATATATATGTATGTTATGAGAGGGAAGAGTATTCATCTTCATTTGTGCTTGGAGTGGTGCAGACTTACCCATATAGCGACCCTCGTTGTGTATTTCCAGCTGCCAATCGCCGTGCGGCGACTCTCCCCAAGTATGGACGGACATGAAGGGCCACTGATTAAAGCCAGAACGAGATACATCGTGAATACTGCAAGGAAAAGAGGTTGAAAATGATTAGCAGGACCATTTTGAGTAATATTGAAATATACAAAAACATATTATTGTGAGAGAACTTCAAGAATAAAAGATATATCTCATTATAGTAAATAACTAAACTCTAGTTAAGCGTTTTTTTTCATAATCTGCCGGACGGCTCAAGCACATAAGCACCAAAGGGTAATCGTACAATGATCAGACAGAAGCAAAACTGTGAGAGAGAGCGAGCAGGCCTCTCCCCTCTGCATATGCCAAGTTGGTGGAAAGTCTAAGAGCGATTTCTAGCACAGAGGAGTCCCAATCAATCTTTGCCTGCTGTCAATATAGCAAGGATTACGACGAACATCATTTTTTCAATTTTTATCGATTTAGCTATGAAACTTTTCCAGAAAGGAAGAGGCCAGCCATTCCATAAGTGAGACTCTAAGTGAAGGCCTCCACCTGATATATCCAACACAGTGGGAATCTCCGTCTTTCAGTGCTTTTACCAGCTTCGTTTTTATTGTCATAGACACCGCCAAGTTAACGAAAGCCCACTAGTCGGTTTTGCCTAATGTTGGCTTAAGTTGGCTTATGGAGCCAATTAGAGATACCAAGTGAATCCGGTTCCTCTTTCACGATATTCACAAAGTTTCCCCTCCCTTCCTCTGTTCCCACGGGCGGTTGCTGCGTTGAAAACTTTCAAAGCCAGAGTATGGTCGTAGCGAACAGACGATGAGAAAAGACTCCCGCTGATAACGCGTACAATCTTTTATATGGTGATATGAGCCATGATAACTTCCGCTGAGTTCCCTCAGAAAAGTTGGAAAGATCTGTTGATCTGTGCTGAAGGCTTTCGCTTCTCTTGGTGTGTTTAGTGGGCGGCAGAGACTAACATGTCTTGCTGTTATTTATCTGTAATTTTGTATACTATTTAATAAAGCTATTTTTACCCGTCGTTACCTCTGCTTCATTAACGGCAGGCAAAGTATTGGTTAATAAGGCACTTTTTTTTAAGGATATAATAGTTTTTTATAAAAAAATTCTTTTTTAGAGTTTGAAAATATAGAAAAAATACTTGCATATGTGGATACCAAATTCAAGGTTCTTTAATTACCTGCCCACTATTATGAAAATCGGTTCAGTAATACTCGAAATTGGGAATTCCCCCTTTTTCATCCCCTGGCGCCCATAAAATTCATCTGCACAAGAAATGTTATATACCGTTAAACTCATGGAAAAAGCCGAGAACCGCGCCCACTAATTAATTTTTTCCGGTGCGGGCAGTTGGAATACTACACTTGTCGATTACAATAAATCGTTAAAACTCGATGACGACACGAAATCTCTATTCAATTTGCGGAATCGAAAAAGCTTTCACAATTCCATTCCCGAAATTTTGTAACAATCAGAAAAACTTCGCCTTCTCTCTCAAACTATTCAAATACATGCATACCTACATATATAAATTAAAATTAGCTAAACAAAAATAAAAATTCAAAACAATTCCAAATCTTCAGGGAAATTTAAAAGTCTAGCTGAAATCGAAAAAATGGCCACAGCAAGAGCAGCGCTAGCCGGCGCACTAACCACTACGTTGCCTAACGACTCCTCGCCGGCGCTGCCAGTACAGACATCGAGCCTCACAGCTGCCACAGTTTCAACACCCGCAGGATCATCTACAACAACACTCGCGCTGCCAGCACCAACGCCATCAGCGCCGCCGCCGTTGACAGCACAAATAGCTAATCTGCTAAATTTGGCACAATATATGCTGAACAACGTGCGAGAGCAACAAGTACAACAGCACGACGAGACAGAAGTGCAGCAGCGCCGGCGACAAACACGCAAAGGGCAACGTAATTTCCGCCGGCAGGCGTACACGCCCTACCAACGTCCGAGTATCGAGACGCAGGGCTTGAATGACGGTGCGAATAATGCAACAAATACAAGCAACAGTGCGAATGGCTTGGAATGGCGCGTGGGTGGAGGAAATAGTGAAGCGGATGGCAGAAGTGTAATTACAAATGTCGCTCTTGAGCAGTTGATAATGAGCGGTAGAGGACACAAGGACAACAATAACAGTCACTACAACAACAGACATAGCAGCACAAATAGAGAAGATAATACACATTTTCGTTGTTCAATTTGTTTGGACTCGTATCTGTTGCATCGGCCGATGGTCACGCAGTGTGGACATTTGTTTTGCAAGCGTTGCATCAGGAAGTGTGTCAGGGGCGTTGGCAAGTGTCCGATGTGTAATTGCAAATTAAATTCAAACAGCGTTTTTCGTGTGTATTTTTGAGCTTTTCTTGCTTTTCTTGCCATTCTGTGGCAACGCTTCCAATGCACTTCTGCATTTTCGGTATTTTTTGTCTTAATTTTTGCTCTCTTTTGTACTCACTTTGTAGAATATTGTCATTTTCTAGCACACGCGGAATATTTTGGATGTTTTATGTTCATTTTGTGCAAATTTTTATAATTTTTGTATTGATTTAAATGTACATGAGTATGTGTATGTGTAAACAATTTCGAATATATGCACCCGGCGATTGTACACATTTTTAAATTTAGCAGTTTTCTTTCTTTCCTCCACCAACTTGTAGCGAGTGTCTGGATGTTTTACCAACAATAGGAGAGACCCTCGGTTTATTTTAGGCCAGGGTGGGGTTTTTATTTATAACAGAAAACCATTAGGAGGGGGCCATCCAATCGCTTCGCACCCGCTTCAACCCTCCATGACCCTGGTACGCACTGCTCGCTGTGCTGAGCTGCTGAAGCGATTTTCTCCCGAGCTGCTATTCCTATTTGTGGTGTGCGTCTTGGTATTTTAGCAGCAAATGGAGAAAGAATTAGCTCATTCTAGACCACCTCTGAACGGTCAATGGCTTTTTATGAGGGGCTTTAATTTTACGACAGCAATTCCTCGGTGTTCCATGCATAATTTACTCACCAGCTGCGTGAGTGCCATTTCTGTATGGGTTTCGGACCATAGAGCCGCAACGAGTACTGGTGGAGCAAACTGACAAGCCTCTAGCATTTCTCGCTAACTCAACGGCAATTATGTAAAAGTCAAGCGAGAGACTTCCGATTGAACTCCGATGCTAATTTCGATGACAATAAATCTCAAACTTTAAGAAATTTTAAATCACACTTCGAAGAGGGAGCTCAAGACCGGTATAACTATTACGATAACTTACTTCTGGAAATGGCTTTTACCAGTGCCATAAAATCTAGACTTTTGCTGCGTTTGATGCCACAATAAGAGAACTGAAGAACCACTGGCCAACTGGTGACATATACTTTTGGTCACGACCTATACCTTTGGCGACGAGCTAATAATATGGGCTTAGAGGGGTAGCTCTAACCAGTTTTCTCGCTACAAAAGTCGTGAACTGATGTTTCGCCTGAACTAGAGCACCTTTTCTTGAAAGTTATTGGAAATTTCACTTAAGAGCTATAGAGCTGTCTTTTAATAGTACGAAAATGTATTATCGACTTACCGTGATGTTAATAAAGTAACTTTGGTGCCGGCCGGTGACTTCAGATTCAATTGAATGTCACCGCGACGTTGTGATGTGAGTGTGATTTTCGCCTGAACATGTTCCAGATAATTGACGGATGAGCAGTGTTTCACGGTTAACTGTAATGTGATATAACTTCTGGGCGGAATGACTCTTTAAAATCGAGAAGAAAATATTTTAATTTACTTGTTGTTTCTTAGATGGATCAGATCAAATAAACACAACTACAACTTACTTGTCTACATGTGGCGCATTGATCTCGCAGCGTTGCTGCTCCGGCACCGTTTTCCACGTACGTGCTACTTTCACCATAGCTGCCGCATCCATTAGACCATAGCCAAACGAATGGCTAATACGTCGACCGACACCATTTCGCGACCACGTTGGATCACGTAAATTTGCCGGTTTCGCTGTACGCACCACAATATGCTGCAGATCACGCCACGTCAAATTGGTATTGGATTCGAGCACCAAAGCGGCTATGCCGGCCGCTAGTGGCGCTGAGGCTGAGGTACCCGTGTGCGATACTGTGCACGAGTGATGTAAGTCTGTCGTCACCACCTGCTTCTCAGTCTGTCCGCCACTACTGTAGGTGGTCGCCAATGTGGAACTGCATTTCTCCGAATACCAGGGTACATGACCCTCTTCGGTGGCACTAGATATTGACAGTGTCCAAATGGAGTTTGTATAGCCGTCACAATTACAATTATCAAATTCTCGTCCGCCATTACCCGATGCCCAAATAAATATGCTACCCTTGCCTTGACGTCCCTTTGTGACGCCCTCAATGAAGGCACGTTGCGCCAATTCGCCGGGACCGTCCACCGTTTTACCATCATCATCGGGTCCCCAAGACGCGCTATAGATGTCGATGTGTTGCGGATTCAATGATAACGAACGTGCCTCGACGGCGTCCGTCACATCGCCATCCAACATTCGGACACCGCCAACACTGGCACCAAATGCAATCCCAACCGCACAGATTGAGTTATTGGCGGTGGCGGCCACTTCACCAGCGCAACGCGTACCATGACGATTTGAATCGGTCATGTCGTAGTGTGGCATTGGATCATTATCGTGACTGTTCACGTCATAGGACGCTTGAGGATCCTAGTGGGTGTGAATGGGGAGAATATATTTAATAAGTTTATAAAGATGACTGAATGCAGCTTCGGAATTGGACTTACATAGTTGTGCTCGATATCTGGATGATCCGACTCTAGACCATCGTCTAGTATGGTCACCACAATGCCCTTGCCGGTAATACCAGCTTGCCAAGCAGGCACCACATTCATATCTAAGCCGCCACCGCGATTCTGTTTAGAGGTTGGAAATAAAGTGAAATGAGTTCAAGTCTGTTTCAATTGAGAGTTTGGGAATAGTCAATTGATTTTTCATTTGACTAATCATAATATGGATTCGGAAAAAAGAGTTCGGAATCAAGAATCAATAATCGTGAAAATGATCAAAAGTTATTGTTCTCCACTGGCTTAATTAAACGGATAGATTTCAATTAATTATTCGATTGACTAATTAACAAATTAAATCAGAAATGTCCGGTTGAAATAAAATGTCCGGTAGTACTTACCAAATACCACATTTGCGGCCATTTTGGATCGTTTAAAGGAACTGTATCCACCTGTGAGAGAGCGCGCGACGACGTTCGCGACGGCCGCATGCGTATGTAGTCGCGTTTCTGACGCGACTTGGCCTGCTGCTGCTTGGCCCAATGCACTCGATGGTCATCGTCCAGGCGCGACTGATGCGGCTGCGAGGGCATCAGCGAACGCTTGGAGACCTTGTGATGCACAAAATGGTAGTGATCATCGAAGATCTGTAAATAAAAAAGTTGAGAGAAAAATTACTGTACTGCGTAGTGAAGAGTTTTGTGAGTAGGCAACCTTTTTAGTGACGAAACACTTGGCATACCAAAATTCCGAAAAGAAATTAGCTGTGAATAAAAACATAGAATATTTTTTCAGAATATTTTTCACATAGAAAAAATAGAATGGCGAGAATGCCGAATGCTTGGTCTAATATTTTGGACATTTTTCAACAAAAACTACGTAATTTAAAACAAATTTCACGCGTCAAAGACTACTCGAGGCACGTGCTGACCAGGTCGCTGCTCATAAGGCCCGCGCTCAGTGATGCTATCAAATCTTATATGGCAAAAGTGGCTGTCGCTGTGCTCTTTTCGCGCCATAAGCGTAAGTGGAACACCAATAAATATAAACAAACATACATTCTTAAGGCATTATATCCCCTACAGAGCCACGTCGCTTAGCTTGCACTGCCAAAGCGGAGAAAGAGGCCGCCAATAAGTTGCCTAAATATCAGGCAAAGGAGGCGAAACATTGGTATCCAGATCCGGAGTATTTAAGACAATTCGAAGGCGCTTATATTGACGATGATGGGCCACCTTTCGTACGTTGGACGGGTAAAATGAATGTGCCACCCGATCGCACTTACCGCACGAAGTTCATCAATTTCGGACCTGCCCATCCAGCGGCACACGGCGTTTTACGTATGATCTTGCAGCTAGACAATGAAACCGTACTCTCTGCCGACCCGCATATCGGTCTGTTGCATCGTGGCACGGAGAAACTCATCGAAAACAAAATGTACATACAGAGTTTGCCTTATTTCGACCGGTTGGATTATGTGTCGTGTATGTCGAATGAGCTCTGCTATTGTTTGGCCATTGAGAAACTACTCGGCTTGCAGGTGCCGAAGCGCGCGCAATATATACGTACCATGTTTTCGGAGATCATGCGTCTGACCAACCATACAGTCGCTTGCGCTACTGCTGTATTGGATTGTGGCGCTATAACGCCACTCTTCTGGATGTTCGAAGAGCGAGAAAAGTTGTACGAGTTTTGTGAACGCGCTTCGGGTGCGCGTATGCACTCCGCTTATATACGGCCGGGCGGTGTGGCTTTCGACTTACCATTCGGTTTTTGTGATGACCTCTACGACTTTATTTGTCGCTTTCGGCATCGTATTGATGAATTCGAGGATGTCGTAACGGACAATCGTATATGGCGTATGCGTAATATCGGCATCGGGCGCATCACAGCACACGAGGCCATGAATTATGGTTGCTCCGGCGCCGTGCTACGTGCTACAGGTGTCAAGTGGGATTTACGTAAGACACAGCCTTATGACGCATACTCCGAAGTAGAGTTCGATGTGCCGGTTGGTGTTAATGGTGACTCTTACGATCGTTACTTATGTCGCGTGCGTGAAATGCGTGAGGCATGCAAGATTATCAATCAGTGCTTGAACCAGTTGCCGGAGGGCGAAATAAAAGTGGATGATAGGAAAGTATGCCCGCCAAAGCGGGTAGACATGAAAGTGGGCATGGAGGAGTTAATACATCATTTTAAGTTGTTTACGCAAGGCTTCGCAGTGCCGCCCGGTGCCACGTACACAGCTGTGGAGTCGCCAAAGGGCGAGTTTGGCGTTTATCTGGTCTCGGACGGCACAAGCAAGCCGTACCGTTGTAAGATACGTGCAGCAAGCTATCCGCACTTGGCGCTCATGAATAAGTTGACCTACAAACATTTGCTGGCCGATGCGGTGGCCATAATCGGTTCATTGGATATAGTGTTTGGTGAAATCGATCGTTGAATGAGTATGAAAGAGATGTGCGAGTCAAATGCGAATAAAATGGAGAAAACCTGATAATTTCTTTAACGAGCTTCTTGCTCTAATTTTGAGAGTTTAGAGATCATAATGTGTTGTTGGAGTAGTACGATCAATAATAAGGTATAAGGTAGCTTTAGAAACCGGCTAACTGACGCTGCTGGATCTTTTTAAGTACGAGTCTTTGTTATGTGCTGATTGACCCCTTACGCACTCCCACGACAGCTCCTCACAAAGAGTTAATTCACTCGTTCTCTCTACATCATTGTACTCACGTTGCAAAGGAAGTTAGCACTGGGGCCATGAATTTTTCTCACTTTGTTTCAGCTTTATTTCATATTTTTAATCTTGCAACTCATTATGCTAATATAAAAGTAGCAATTAAGCGCACTTAAGCGTCCTGCACCGAAAGCGAAAGAGTTTTTCATCCAAAAGCAATTAACAAATTGCATAAAATATAAATTAAAAATATTTAAAATTGCAATCTCTTCACGTTAATTACCAGCGGGTGTTTTTTCGCCAACGTAATTATGCGAACTTTCAACAATGTCGCACCATAGAGCCTCAGTATTAACCACAATTAAGTGTCGCTTGTTAATTTCAGCTTAATTAATTAAGGTTAAATGGTTTAATGAGATTAATACAAGAGGACAAAGCAAAAACTTAATACACATACGAACATACCTACGCTGGCATAAATAATAAAAGTGTTGAAAATTGGATTATGCACTTAAGAGTAAATATATATATTGCAAAAACAAAAATCAACGGAATTTTAAAATAAAATAAATAAATCACAATGAATGAAGGTGAAACAAAATAAAATTATATAAAACAAAATCAAATAAAATAAAACAAAATAAAATAAAATAAAATAAAATAAAATAAGATAAATTAAAATAAAATAAAATAAAATAAAATAAAATAAAATAAAATAAAATAAAATAAAATAAAATAAAATAAAATAAAATAAAATAAAATAAAACGAAGTAAAATAAAATAAAATTAAATGAAATGAAATAAAATAAAATTAAGCAAAAAAAATATAATAAACTACAATTCACTTAAAATGAAATAAAATAAAATAAAATAAAATAAAATATAAAATAAAATTTAAAAATATAAAATAAAAAAATGTAAAATAAAATAAAAAAATATGAAATTAATAAAAAAATAAAATAAAATATAAAATAAAATAAAATAAAGTAAAATAAAAAATATAATGAAATAAAATAACATAAAGTAAAATAAAAAAATATAATGAAATGAAATAAATTAAAATTTAATTGAAATGAAATAAAATAAAATGAAATTAAATAAAAGGAAATTAAATTCAATTAAATTAAATTAATTAAAGTTTTTCGCAAGCTCTTGTAAATTTGGCCAATTTAACAAACAAAATTTTGTCTTATTTTAAACCTTTTAATTTATTTTATTGTGTTTGATTAAATTTATGCTTAATTGAATAGAATAAAGTGGTTTAAAGCATTATATCGAATATATTTTTTCGCCCTTTTGAATGAAACCCGATCGGATTTAGCTGAATTCCCTGAATAATGTGTGTACTAATTTAGATATAAATATCAGCGCCCGAGTCACTTTAACAAATACCTCAACATAGAAAAAGCAAACACATGCACACGCACGGATGATGCACCTGTTTATTGTAAACAAGCGACAAATGCAATTATCTCAATTAAAATGATTATTTATGTTCATTTGTGAAATTATTTTATAATAAAGTGAATTTATGACTGCCAACACAATTAACCTACGAAGCAGGTGTTTGCAATGTTTTGTCAAAGATCCACAAAGCTACATATGTTTATATTATACGAGTATGTATTTGTACAAGTGTACGCACGTACGTATGATTGCGCAAACATAATTTACTAATGAACACAGGTATTGTAGCCAGGACCATATCACACACATGCACATACACACACACACTTACGCATACACGAAAGTCAGAATGTGCCGAATAAATGAGGTCGACTCCAGAGGCAGAGTAAATATAAATAGTGTTCATAGCATACATACAGGCGCAAGCAAGTGTTTTCTTTTTGTGGCAACAAGAGTATATTAATTGAAATTCCAAACTGTTTTTGGTTTTTTTTGTTCGCTAAAATCCAAATAAGGTGAGTATGTTTCAATTGTGGCTAAAAACGTATATATATATATGAAACCAATTTTAGTATAACACCCATTAAAGATATGTCCCATGAAAAGCGAGACTGCTCAAGTTTCTGCCGCTAGCTGTGCGTGCTGTTTTTCGGAAGGTCAATGGGTCGAGTCCTGGTCAGAACAGCATTCAAAGTTATAGAAAAAATATTTTAATTGCGGTCTTCCCTTAGAAAATAATGACATTTCTCTCATACAGCTGCTCATCCATTATCATCAGTATTTTTCGGCAGAAGCTTCTTGCAGAAATTCAATTGAAATTAGGAGAAATATCGTAGTCAGCGCGGAGAATAGTCGATAAAACATCGATAATTTATTTGTGCTGCACTAACGTAACGGTAAATTTAAACAGTCACCTTTACACCTTGACCATTTGGAAGCATAGAACAGGCACATATTTTCCGTTTCCTTTTCCGTTTGACTATTTTCATTTCCGTTTACCAAGTCGTACGCTTTTGCGGATGACAACTTCATTTATGTGCACGTGTGTGTGCGTTTGTGTATGTGTTATCATTGTGCAAATTGAAAAGTTCTGAAAGTGACTTCGCATGTGTTTGAAATTCCAATTACAAATGGAATTTCGGGTGCCGATACGGAAACGGAAATAAATCTGCGTACAAATGTATTGATACGGGTGTGTGTGTATGCACTGCAGTTATCTGTTGGCTTTTGTGCATGTGTTTGTGTGGCAATTGCTGTGAATTGCGCGATTTAAAAGCAACTGTAAATGCAAGTGACATAAAGCTTGAAAAAGTGCAGCATCGATGGCATGTGAAATTGTACATAAATATGTACGTGAGTGTGCTGGTAATTGCAGGGGCGGGAATAAATTAATAAATAGAGGGGTTTCCATCTAAGCCTTGTAACTGCCAAATATTTCGGGAGCGATAGTCCTTGGTACCATAAAAATCCGGGTCGTTCCGGTATAAAGACGCGACTCTGGCGGAAACTATTGCATTTTAGTCGCCATTTACGACAAGCATGCCTTACTACGAGTAAATTCTTGAGCTCCAACCCGCAGTGCTGCAATTAGCGCTAGGAGCGCCGTTTTGGTGCACTATGGTAAGACCTTAGTATAAGCTTTTTCTTGGTAGGTCCTTTTCTAAGGCGTATGGTATCATCTCCGTTTCAGATTCATTAAGAGTTGCATTGGATTTGTGCGACTCGCTAGTTTTTCCGCGCAGATAATGCCCTTATGGCCGGAAACAGAGATCCATCTACATACCATACCGTATGTGCGGAAGATGGAAGGATTTATGAGGAGTTTTTATATTTTATGCCAGAAATAACCTCGGTGATCGCGATTCGATTTTTTTGGTTTGGTCAGAGTTCGAACTCATGAACCTTCACTTGGTAGTTTGCACTGCCAATCACTCGGTTAAAGCAGTCGCGTTACTTACATTCAATATTTGGCAGTCTTTCTAGTTTTAATGAGGTGGTTATAAACTGTTTTTCAAGTCGCACGGGACATCTGTAAATGCTACAATAAAACAACAAGGCTGAGCTTAGTTTTAGTCAAATAGATTTCGTTAGCAAAGCATGAATGAAAGGGCTCCAGGTTTGAACGTGTTCGATGTAGTACTCAGCGGTGAAAGCAGAGGAAGAGGAAGACCCTCAGCCCTGGGAAGGATCAGGTGGAGAGCAACCTGGCTTCCTACTGGCGCTGAATATCAAAGAGCAGAACCTATTGGCGCGCTAATTGTTGATTCGGCTATAATCGCGTAAGGCATTGCCAATGAAGAAGAAGATCTCTCTATAAAAATACCATTCTGGTCGTGCAAACGAGGTCTTCTACCAAATAGAATATCATTATCTTTTAGTATATACTCCAGAAAGAGGTCAGCTCTCAAGAGCTTTCTCCTTAATGCCACCGCTATTCAAATCCTACCAAAACTACCTGGGATTAATTCGTTTTGGAACTCTAATTTAGATATCTCATCTTGAATATCCGGCTGCCAACTTCCTGTCCCCGTGGCTCTTTTTTAGATTATACGAATTCACAGACATGCACACACCTACAAACATACATGCATAGTCAAGAAAGTGCCATGCATAATGCAAGCTCGCAAAAAACGTAAGGTGCACACACTTACGCACACATGCCAGAAGAGAGAGAGAGAGAGAGAGAGCGGAAAAAGGACTAAAATTTGTATAAACCACTCAGCGGCATATACATGCAAATATAAACACATGCACATGTAGAGCTTGTGGTCTTGGCTCGTTTTTAAGTTGTGGCACCAACGTGTCGTCGTCGTCGTCGACGTCAACCGCGCCGCTGCTGTGTGTTCATTCGAGAGGCAACTACTCGACACTCACTTTAACTGCCAACGACAACTATGGTCCATGTTAGAGTATGCATGCTGTTGTTGTTGTTGTTGTTGCGCCTACAGTTGCCCGCAAACCCACAACATTGCAGAACAATCACTTCAACTCTTACAATCTCGAACCTTCAACCTTGTTAAACAAAGCGGTTGTGGTGGCAACTGAGTAAGTTTGTGTGTACGCGCGCATGTGTATGTCTGTGTGTGTGTGTGTGTGTGTGTGTGTGTTAATATCACCTGACTTGCCTACTCAACTTGGTTAGCCATCCGCACGACTGCGACTCCGTGCGAGATGTCAGTAGGTGTTCCTCCATTAAAGCTTCTTGGGTTTGTGTGTGTGTGTGTATGTGCGCCCGATTTATGCAAATTTGGCAAACAAACATGCTGGCGGGAGTCCAATCACACCAAACAAAACTCAGACAAGCAACAATCCAGCTAACCAAGCTGCCAAGTAAACTGAAATTGTATAGCCAAAGGAAAGCTTAGCCGAGTGCCCGCATGAACTGCTTTTGTTTGCTGCGCCTTGTAAGGCTCACAGGCAAGCTTTATGTGGCGCCGACGAGTACATG